CCAAAACTAATTTATTTAATTTTTAAAAACATTCATCTCACTTTTTAAAATATTCATGCATTGTAGAGATCCTGTTTGGAAATTTGAAGAAAGGTTCTTGACATCTTAAAAGTGTTGACGTGTTTCAGAAAATGTTCGTGATGTTTCCGTTAAAATATAGTTTCTTTATAATTTTAAAGAAACATGGGTTTCGTAGAAGTTTTAGAGACATTTAAAAAATATTTAGGCTTTTAAAGATATGTTTGTGAAAATTTTGAAAAAATGTTTATGCAATGTAGTAAAATTATTTCATGGGAGTCAAGAAATTATGCAATCTTAAAAAATATTTGTGACATTTTAGATTAAAGGTTATAAGCACTAAAAAAATCTTTTGCATGTTTAAAATGTTTGATGTGTGTTAATAAATGATCACCGATTATTCAAAAAGTGTTCAATGTACATTTGACACATGTTTCAACATGTATCTCAACAATTGCCAACTTGTATACAAAAAATATTGAACATGTATTTGAAGAAAGATGAAAAATAAAAAAGAAGAAAAAAGAACAGAATAAACCCGATGAATGCCAATTAGAAAATGCATAAAAAGGTGAAAAAAGGAGAGGAATAACCTTACAAAAAGTTCTAAAACTCATCTGAACCGGTCCCTAAAACCTTCACAAAACCGTTAAAGGAAGCTACACTTAACAGAGCTCCAGAGGTGAAATGAGGGTACGTCACAATAAACTAGACACAGCCCTCGCGACAACATACATAGCCTAATGCAGGAAGAGAAGCACCGGCGCGTCTATACCTCACTTCTAGCGAGCCCGAAGGAAGACTCGCCTGAAGCGAGACGGTAGATGGGCCGGCCTAGGCGCGGGGAGGCCACGACCTCTTTTATCACTTTTTTCTTTTTTTTTCTTTTGTACCTTCTTTTATACTTTCATGTATTCTGAATAGATATAATACAAAAAAGACTCTACATAAAACATTAAAAAATGTTAACCAAGCATTTTTTTAATGTCAAATGTGTATAGAGTAAATGGTTCTCATGTATATGAAAAATGTATAACGTGTGTGAGAAAGGTTGGTCATGTCTTTAAAAAAGATAAATCCAAGCATTTTAAACACATGTTAAATGTGCATACAGAAAAGGTTTCTCATGTATATGAAAAATATATACAAAAAATATACAATGTGCGTGAAAAAGTGGATCATGTATTTAAAAAAGTTAAATCCAAGCATTTTAAAACATGTTTAACAAGTATTTGAAAATTGTTAAATTTGTATAGAAAAATGTTGACCATGGTTTAAAAAATGTTAATCGACCATATGAAAAAAAAATCAAATGTGTATAGAGAAATGTTGACCATCTATTAAAAAATGTAGATCTGGTATTTGAAAAATGTTACTCAAACATTTTGAAAAGTAATAAATTTGTATAGAAGAATTGTTGACAATGTATTCAGAGAATGTAGGTCTAGTATTTTAAAAGTGTCACTCGAGCATTTGAAAAATGTTAAATGTGTATATAAAAAATGTTCACAATGTATTAATAAAATATGGATCTGGTATGTGAAAAATGTTACTCGGGCATTCGAAAAATGTTAAATGTGTATACAAAATGTTAATCTTATATTTGAAAAATTTTAAACTTGTATTAGAAAATTTTATTATGTACATACAAAAAATTTGTATAGAAAAACAGTGAAAACTCGAGAGAAATCAAAATAAAACCGATCAAAAACCAGAAGAAGACAAATAAAACCGAAGAAAGGGAGAAAAAGGAAAAATCAAGCCAAAAACAAGAAAAAAGAAAGAAAAAGAAAGAAAGAAAAGAAAACCCTGTAAAATAGAGAGATAAACAAAGAAAAAACGATGAAAAAAGAATAAGAAACAAAAACGAAAAAAAAACCATTGGAAACCCGGCTGTTTTCCTTCAAGTTGGGCGGGCCATTCTAATTTATCTCAAACTCGAGTGTGACATAGTTGCTAGTAGCTCCTCACATGCTCGCTTTTTCTACACTATTTCTTTTAAGCTAGAAGCTAATGGGTTGGCTTGTTACTGTATACGCTTTGGGTGAGAGTTCCTACCATCTTGCTATACGCAAGATACAGCCTTTGTTTGGGCAGTACGGTCGTATGCTGGCACTGCGCTACTAAGCATGTACCAGAATTAGACAGTTAGCCGAAAGACTGATTTACTTAAAATTTACTTAAAATTTTCCAGAATTAGACAATATATTCCGAAATTAATTTACTTAAAATTTTAAAAACATTCATCTCATATTTAAAAATATTGATGCATTGTAAAGATCGTGTTTGGGCAATTTGAAAAAAGGTTCCTGACATTTTAAAATGTTGACGCATTTGGGAAAATATTTGTAATATTTTTTCTAAAGTATATATACAATGTATTTTTTGTAATTTAAAAAACATGTATTTTATATTGGTTTTAGAGACATTTAAAAAATATTTAGTATTTTCAAAATATGTTTTTGAAATATATGAAAAAAATGCATTGTAATAAAATAATTTCATATGAGTCAAAAAAATTATGCAATCTAAAAAATATTTATGACATTTTATATTAGAGGTTCTAGGAACTAAGCAAATGTTCGGCATGTTTAAAAATATTCATGGCATTTGTAAAAATTGTTCGATGTATGTTAACAAATGACCACCATGTATTAAAAGGGTTTGATGTACATTTGACACCTGTTTCAACATGTATCTGAAAATTTTCACCTTGTATACAAAAAATATTTAACGTGTATCTGGAGAAAGGTGAAAAATGAAAAAGAACAAAAAAACGAACAGAACAAAACCCAATGAATCACAATTAGAAAATGTATAGAAAGGTGAGAAAGAAGAAGAAGAACCTTACAAAAAGTTACAGAACTCATCTGAACCAGTTCACAAAACGTTCACAAAACCGCTAAAGGAAGCTACAGTGTGTGCCGACCCTTAGCAGAGCACCAAAGGTAAGATGAGGGTACACCAAAACAAGCGAGACACAGCCCTCACGACCATATGCCATACCGTACTTCGACGGGGACCTATGAGTTGATCTACCACATGAAAAGAGAAAATCAACCTTTCTATATTGCTCTCCAAGCTTTTATATCTCTGTTTGCCCATAATTTCACTGAGAAAATCAACACAATTAAAACCGAGAGGGATTACCTCATTAATCATGATAGCACAGGAGGGAAGCAGATCATGCTCATGGAGAACCAACATGCCGCCGAGGGGATCTAGATCAGACATGGAAGGGGCTTGATCTCATGGAGAACCAACATGCCGCCGAGGGATCTAGATATCGGCCATGGAACGGGCGTGATCTCCTGGAGAACTAACATGCCGCTCAGGGGATCAGGATCGGCCATGGAAGGGGCGTGCGTGAGGATATAGAGCCTTAAGCTTTATTTCTTTCTTTCTTTGCGACCATGCAGGGTTGATTTATCCAATGACATGTACCTAGGGAAAATAGTAATGGCATAGGTGGGTTGTTTCTTCCTTATCTGATGTTAATAGGTAATTATTAAGATCTAATGGTTTAGGATTTTTAAGATTCAAAATTAATGGCCTGATGTGTCTGATTTTTGTGTGATTTTCTAGCATATTTCTCTCTTTTTTTCTGGCGAGCCCATAGAGCACTTTTTATATATAAAATAGATACTTGTTTCTCAACCTGATCAAGAAAAAACCACTTTTACTTGTCCCTTTGGAACCTATGCTTATCGACGTATGCCTTTCGGTTTATGTAATGCACCTGATACTTTTCAAAGATGTATGACTGTTATATTCTTTGATTTTTGTGTAAAAATTGTTGAGATTTTGATGGATGACTTCTCTGTTATAGCTTAATGCTGGAAGAGAAGCACGGGCGTGTCTATACCTCGCTTCTAGCGAGCCCAAAGGAAGACTCACCTGAAACGAGACACTAGATGGCCAGGCCCAGGCACGAAGAGGCCATGGCCTCTTTTTCACTTTTTTTTATCTTTTTTCTTTGTTTTATACTTTCAAATATTCTAA